ATACATCTCAATTGAGTTCAGAAGTTATGGATGATGCCGCTTTGCCATCATTACCAGCGTGCCATTGTATTTTATGCTGGAGATAGACTCAAAAGATATACTAGGCCTCCATGATGGTACGTTGAAGCTGATTTTGTTGTTTATGTTTTAAGTGCAGTCGAGTATGATAAGTTTTGTAAAGAACTTTCCCCATAAGCATTTTGTGTTGATTATGTTATAGGATATGTTTCTGCTCTATTTGGTAAATATTAAATTATTATGATTTTTGTTGCTCGTGGGGATAATTTGAGCAACTTTGGTGCCTTAGATTATCCTGAGCGTGCTTGGATTTGAATTTTTTTTTTTTCAGTTATCAAGTTTACTCTAGTTGTATTTTGTGTAAGAAGTGGAGAATTTTTCCTATTAGAGGATTTGTTTTGGTGTATAATTTTTTGTTGAGGAGTTAAATTTTATTCTTAACGAAGAAATTTGTCTCCAAGTGGAGAAATTTTTGAAATTTTGTTTATTGCAGTGGAATTTGTGTTAAGCTGAAGTTTGTTACAAAATAGAGTCTAACCCAAATTCTATTTGGAAGATTACTTGAGACTTCAATTTAAAGTCCAGTTGGAAATTCTAGTGGAAGTTTATTTATAAATGTAAGTTGTAATTCAATTTGGGAGTTGATAGTAGACTTGAATAGATCTTGAAGGAGTCCAAATTGCAATCAGTTTCTATTAGCATTTTTAACAGTTTTTTTACTCCTATTTCATTCAAAATATTTCGTTATTAGTTTTACCCAATGTTATCAAAATTGGATCAGATCAGCCGGTTTGATCGAAGAAATTAAGAAATGAATTGAAATCCAGTCCGATCATATGAGAAAAACCTGTCCATAACCCGAAACTCGTCTGGTTTAACTGGAAATTGACGAACCGGTCTAGACATTTATGAGTTCAGCCATATTTCTATTAAAAATGTAAATTAAATTAGGATGAAGAAGAGAACTTTTACTACGTTTCTTTTGGTGCCTAATGGTCATTGGAGTTCCGGTGAAGTCCTTGTTCATGGACATAAAATTCAACAATTGGTTTAAAATAATCTTAAGCAAATATAAGTATTTGATATTTATATATACAAATCTATATGTGAGCGAGAAAGAAGAAAAAGCAAATAACATTTGAACATCTAACACACAAGTAGAGAGTCGCTAATGAATTTATGAGAAAGAAAAGCAGGTAGCTATAAATGAATGAATTGAATCTATAGTGGAATTGGAATTGGCTGTTTATTGTGGAAATTACATATTCTAATAGATTAAAAATTCTCATTTCATAAATAAGATGCCTTGTTTAGTATTTCACAAATCAGATATTTTTTAATTAATTAATATATTTAAAAATTAATTAAAAAGCCCAAATTTTCATATTTGAATATTAAATACTAATTATACAAATTCCATTCCAACCCTAATCAATTTCCTCTCTCTCTCTCCATCTCCTTCTCTCTCCTCCCACCCGTCTTCTCTCTCTCTCTCTCTCTCTCTCTCTCTCTCTCTCTCTCTCTGCGACAGCTTACTCCAGCTCCGGCGATTGCTACTAGTTTGGGCAACGAGGCTTCTATTTTCATTTATGTTCATCATGGCGGAGGCATTTTTGAGGGATAAAGGTTACAATGCGTCAATTTGCAAAACGAAATGGGAGAAATCTGGCGGAGTGACTGCTGAAAACTACGAGTTCATTGACGTTGTTCGTTCGGACTCCAAAAGATATTTCATCGATATGGATTTTGCTTCGGAATTTGTACTCGCGAGACCTACTAATTTCTACGAGAATCTTCTCCAATACTTGCCAAGGGTTTATGTCGGTAAAACTGAAGACTTAAAGCACATTTTGAAGGTAACAAGCGACGCGGCGAAGCAATTGCTGAAGAGCGGGCTAATCGTGATGGTGGTGAGACTGTGGTGGCCTTTGATAGCGTCGCTCGAAGCGGCACCCATCGAGATGCGGTATTGTGACGCCTCTGCACGCGCAACGCTGTGGTGGTCGGGATGTTGGTGATGGTGATGGCTGTGATATTTGAGTTGTTGGTGATGTTAACTGAGTTTTAGTTTTTGATCTAGCATTGGGCTGGAGTAGCTCGGGGGAGGAGGCGAGGGTGTTGTGATGTTGGTAGTGGGTCGTAGCGTGATCATAGTGGTGGTTAGGGCGGTAGTGGTTGTCCCAAGTGTTGGTGGCGGTCTGTGGTGGTCAAAGGTGACGATGGTGGTTTGTGTGTGGGATGACATGGGGTGACGGTGGTTTGTCTTTCATTGTTTTGGTGATTGGGTTTTGTTAATGTCGTGGTGGTTTGCGTTGCAATAGTGAGGGATGGCCGATAGTGTTGTGCTTGCTGTGGTGGTTTTGCGTGGCGACAGTATTGCTGTCAGGTGGTGGTGGTAGTTTTGGCAGCGATTTGTGACTCACAATTGGATACGTGACCTGAAAATTGTGACCGTGACTCACAATTGGATACGTGACTTGAAATTTGTGACTCTGAATCGTAAATATTGGTGGTGGACACAAATTATTTGGTTAACTGTGATCATTAAATTAGTTAATCTGTGATCAATAAAAAAGATAAATTGTGATCGAAAAATAATGTGTGGCCTAAAAAATTGTTACTTTGTGATCGATAATTTGATAATTTGTGACTGTATAATAAGTTGTAACTTATAATATTTGTAATTTGTGATCAATAAATAAATCGTGACTTCTAAAGTTTTTGATTTATGACCGATGAACAAGCTGTGACCTATAAAATTTTGGAATTGTGACCGTAAAATAATTTATGATATGAAATTTCTGATTTGTGACCAAAAAAATAAGTGACGAATTAAATCGTTAATTTGTGATCAAATTATATAAATCTGTGACTTAATATATTTAACTACTAAAATAAATAAATAATTAATTAAATTATAAATAACTTTTAATAAATTTCTAATTTTTGAAATTTGAAACTTATTTTCTTGTTTTTGAAATGTGCCATAATTAATCTCTTACTTATGAAATTTTCCCCTGTTTATTCATGGTAGGGTTTATGATATATGGGCTGTAGAAAACTCTTTTGGCCCGTTTAATTTGACCACTATATAAATTGCTACTTAAACAATAAAAATAATAAAATGTTAAATAAGTAATTATAAAACACTATTTTAAATAATAGAAAATTTTAATGTAATATATAAATATATTATTTATTATTTATATTTTGGGTCAACCTTATTTCGATCTAGGTTTGACCGTTTGACACAAAACCCTTTAGCTTTTTGGGATCGATGAATGGGTTGATTTTCAAAACATTGGTTTTACCTATTATATTTAGATTTCACCTTATATTAAACTCTTCATCATATTATATTTCTAATATGTTAGGGGTCTTAGTATTGTATATATGTGGTGTACAACACATATTTGATCAATTCTTACATTCTACACAATAATTTGTAATTGTCCATTATTAATATTAATAAATGTCTCATCTTCTATCCGTGGTATATTTTTACCATGTAAATTGTTTGTTATCATTTGATTTAATTTTCATATTATCATAATAATACACTAGTTTAAATCATAACAAATGTTAATACCATTTTATTATCCAAAACTTGACACATAAGGCATGGACTCGACCTTTTTGGGCTAGGCTGGGCGACGGTTGTAACAAATTATCACAATAGTCACTAAGATTGTATGAATAGATATTCTGTCAGGCCCTAGCAAGCTCTTCTTATTCATGGGGGTTCGATTCTCTAAATGAGGTCGACTCACACACATGGGTTCGACCTTTCATAGGGGTTCGGGTTCAATCTCGCCACTTGAGCTGTAATGACTCGGGTCTTTGTATCCAAACCGTTAGCATACGTACTGTCCGCTTTGGGTGGGCTTTGCGCACACTTACCCCTCACGGCTTTCTGTTGCGTCCCCTAGGATTATAATTCATGACATTTCCCTTAAGTAAGATTTAAGTTGAATCCTGGTACCAATTGGGCAACTTGGTACGAGGATTCAACTTAAGTTTTACTTAAGGGAAATGTTATGAGTTCGAATCCTCGGAGACATGACAAAAAGTCGTGAGGAGTAAGTAGGCGCAAGACCCACCCAAAACGGACAGTACGAATGCCAACGGCTTGGGTACAGAGACCCGAGTCGTTACAAGCGCGTTTTTTGTAATGATTCGGGTCTCTGTACCCAAGCCGATAGCATAGTACTGTCCGCTTTGGGTGGGCTTTGTGCCCACTTACCCCTCACAGATTTTTGTCGCATCCCTCAGGATTCGAACTCATAACCTTCCCATTAAGTAAGACTTTAAGTTGAATCCTAGTACCAATTGACGCATTTTTTGTAACGACCTGAATCTCTGTACTCAAACCGTTAGCTTACGTACTGTTCGTTTTGGGTGGGCCTTGCGCCCACTTACCCCTCACGGCTTTCTGTCGCGTCTTTTAGAATTCGAACTCATAACCTTTTCCTTAGGTAAGATTTAAGTTGAATCTTGGTACATTAGTTTGGGTACAGAGACCCCCCGTCGTTACATGGGTAGCACGATGTGGAGTGCGGGCTGAGTTGAGTTGCCGTGTGGCTGTCGCGTGGTTATATTTGAAATTTTATTGGAAGAGACGTTACAATATATAATATAAGTTAGAAATGAAAAAAAAAATAAGAAAAAAGAAAAAAAGAAAAGAAAGTGTAATAAATTATACAATAATATATAAAATATATTGCATAATTATAACAAATCGAATCGAGACAATCTATATCCATATTTGCTCTATTTAATTAACGAAATATCAAATTCGGATCTTGATCGAGATGTTAAATTAAAACCCTAAATCTATCTTCCATTAATTTTATTAGATTCGAACCAAATTTGAATTAAAACCCAATCGCAGCCCTAGATATGCATGAAGACATAATTTTTCATTTTCTTTTCCTCTTTATTACTCTTGTTTTTCTATTCATTTTCTTTTCGTTATCTTTCTTCTTTTATAAGGGTGTAATTGCCAAATTCCCGTCTAACAGATTGGAAAACCTTAACCCGGTTGGCCCAAAAATTCTGAAATATCAAACATTTTGCTTCCCAGAAACCTCTCGCCGCAGAAGCTGCAGCACAACCGTAGAGTGTTATTGACTTCAATAATGTTTTTGAAACCCTTTACTTCAGCTCCATCCACTTCTTATTGGAGGTATTTTTTATTTTTCTAATTTTTTCAGCTGTATATTGCCAAATTGGTAACGTGAGTTTATTAACTGTCCTTGCAATTGTTAGATTTTATCTAATTTTGTACCTGGGCACTTAATAAAACTGTTGTTTTTTTCATCCTAGTTATCTAAATAATAATGGGAATGGGAAACTGGAAATAATTTTTATTTATAAATTCGAGTTTTGGATTAGAATTCTTCTGCTGATAGTAAACATTATATTTGATAATATTCAGGGATATGATTCCATGTGTTAATTATGTATTCATTAATTTCCAGTGAATCTTTTAGTTGTGAGAATGGGATGTATGCCAATGTTAGAATGCTTCGAAGGCCAGAAGTAGTGTGTCTTGGTATGTTGGCCCCAAGAAAATTCTTGCAAAAGAGGAAGAAAGTAGAGGTTTTCAAGGATGCTGAGGATGAAATTGATCAGAAGAACTGGAGAAAAGTAATGAATGAAATAGAGGAGGCAGATTCTGCTGTTTCGGTGTTCAAGAGTCGGAGGGCCAAGAAACAGTCTCTACCCAAAGACTTGGTTGTTGGAACCCTGGTCAGATTTAAGCAGCTCAAGAAGTGGAATCTTGTTAGCGAGGTATGCAAAGTTTAGTGCTTTAGTGCTAGTTTCCCTAATTTTTCTCTCGAAACGAAGAATCTCGATTTGGTACTTCTTATGCTTTCTGTTTATTGCCTCCAAAACTAGAAGAGTCAGGAGTTAGTTAGTGATACAACTTGATTGTGATGAGTAGGTCAAAAAAATTTCTAGACTGAATGCAACACCTTACGCATAAATGTTATGGGAGAAAATTTCAATTTGGATGGATAGTATGCTACCCTTTTCTGCAGTCATTGTTAGAAATATTATTTTATTTTTGCAGCCAGCATACATAATATCAATAATCTTGTACCAAGATGTTGATGTAAAAGCAGTGTTGATGCAGTTATGTGAAGCTGTAAAAACATTTGTGGGGGAGACGTAATACTATGTTGTGGATTAATTCTAATGGATCAAAAACAATACCTAGAATTCAAAAACACCTTAATTGTCTAATCTCGAATGTTGAAGCTATAATATTTAGTACAAATATTACCATTTGTTTCTTTATCTAGAGTTGAATAAAGCTCTGCATGCTATTTGCGAGAGGACTTGGATTGAATATATAATTGCTATGAGCCTATTGATTTTTATTTTTATTTATTTTTATTTTTTTTGGTGTTCATATCAATACCTTATTTATGCATTGAAGTTTAGCAATTCATTTATACTCCAGATTCTCGAATGGCTTCGGACACAGCATTGGTGGGATTTTAAGGAGATGGATTTTCTGATGCTTATAACGGCTTACGGAAAGCAAGGAGACTTCAACAAAGCCGAGAGGGTTTTAAGCTACATGAGCAAAAAGGGGTATCCACCAAATGTGATATCCTATACCGCTCTTGTGGAAGCATATGGAAAAGGAGGCCAATACAATAAAGCAGAAGCTATATTTCGTAGGATGCAATTTTCGGGCCCTGAACCTTCTGCTGTGACATATCAAATAATTCTTAAAATATTTGTCCAGGTAATTGAATCCTGGAACTTACAGTTGTTTTAATTTGAATCTCTTATGCACATTCCTCTTATTCCACACAAGGCTGTTGGTCAAAAGTAAAGCTGAAGAATTGATAAATATAAAAAATTAATATCCTTTATTGCTCTTACTCTTCCTACATAATGATGGCCATAATAATACTTTTTGAGCCGTCTTTTAATATTTTTGTTCTTTTAATATTTTTGCTGTTACCAAAAGTATATCAGTGTCTAATGGTTGGAGTGAGTCTGCAAATTAGTTGAATTCCATGTACTGGATAAAATGTTCTCTGAAAAATATTGCCTATTAATTCACTCTGAACATGGCAGTATGAAGACTCTAACTTTGCTTCTAAGTTGAAGCTCTAGAAAAGCTCGTTATAGGGTTATGCTGTTTAGTTGTGCTTTGATCAAACTCTAAAACTGGTAAAGTTTAAGGCTCCAGATAATTCTTGATACACATGTTATTTACGACATTGCAGTTCTTGTTTTGGGTGAAAATATTGGAATTGCTACAAGGAGCTATGCTATAAACTAATTGTGATTTCAATGAACTGTTGTATGGCTTGCCTCTGTATGTCAGGATGAAAGAAGCTTATCATGCTTCAGCACTCTAAAATGATAATGACGATGTGGCTTCTTAGCTACCAAGTAAACTGAAAGCCATACGAAAATTATTCTTATTTTTTTTTTTATAGACTGAGTTTGCAATTCTCATATTCTCTGCATGTCACTGTTTCCTGAAACACTGTGTCCTTCCTAGATATTTTGATTTTTATGGACCCATACTAGTTTCTATGAGCTCAATCATCTTTTGATATAAGGTCCTTTGCAAATATGCTGTCGAGGCATGATCAACGGATTTTAAATAATTGATTGATTTAAATATCAACCATAGTTGGAGGTTAGAATATTTGTTGATCCCTTAAGGTTGTGTTTTTTTTTCTTTCATGTCTTAATGAAATGGTAAGAACATGAACCTGCAAAACTGTTAAATAAATTAAATTCATTCTGAAATATATTCAGATCACTACGTCAAGAAAATTTAAGGTCTATGTCCCTGCATGTATAGTCTGTATGGGAAACTAGAAGTGGGGTTCCAAGTGCGACCCAATTTTCTAATGACTCAGCATAGTTAGTGTCTGTTTTAGCATTTGGAACTGGGTGACAAAATATATTATTGTTAGTTTCATGATTTTCTTTAAATCATTACAAAGCAGTAAGAATATCCTTTGCTGTTTTGTTTACCATAAAAAAGGAATCAGAGAGAATTTATTGCAATCAAGGATCTCCTCTTCCATGCAATGTGTTCTTTATGTTTCCCATTTATTACTGAAATATTGAGTGAACTTCATTTGCAAAATGAGACTACTGTAGGGAAACAGATATAAAGAAGCTGAAGAAGTTTTTGAAACGCTTCTTGATAAGGAAGCCTCACCTCTAAAACCAGACCAGAAAATGTTCCACATGATGATTTATATGTACAAAAAAGCAGGAAGCTATGACAAAGCTCGTAAACTATTTGCCTTGATGCCTGAGAGAGGAATTCAGCAAACTACAGTCACATATAATAGCTTGATGTCCTTTGAAACCAATTACAAGGAGGTTGCAAAAATCTATGACCAGGTACTTAAAATTTCTATATTGTTTATTTTTATTTTACTGTTGATAGTTATTTTTTTATATCTTTTATTAGTTTGCTGCTGTATCTCGATTTGCTAATTATCTGTATAAAGTTTCTTGCGTCATCTTCGATGCATTTTACCCTTCTCATAAGTATTCTTCTCCCGAATTTATTATCTTCTCTGTTATCGCATCAGTGTTGATAGTCAGGTAATGTTTCTATAGAATTGAACTAAACATTATCTGGCAATTTTTGTTTGGTGTAGATTGCACTTGAATTATTTAGGCTTCGGTTCTTCACTTTTTGCTGCTTAACTCTTATCATGAATTCATTAGAATTTTGATGTACATTTATAATTTTAGATGCAAAGAGCTGGTATTCGGCCTGATGTAGTGAGTTATGCACTACTCATCAGTGCTTATGGTAAAGCTAGAAGAGAAGAAGAGGCATTAGCTGTATTTGAGGAGATGCTTGATGCCGGTGTCAGGTCCGATTCCTTAATGTTCTTGCAGTATTATATTATGGTTCTAAAATTTGAGATTGAAATAAGATTAAAAATAATGTTTCACTCTCTTACTTCAGGAACTCAACTCATTGAAAGGCTTACACTGTACTACATTGCACTTAGATCATTTTACTTGCAGCTTTTTGTCTATGCACATTGAACAAATTGGCCACTGTTAGATGCACCGCTAATGTTTGGCATGTCTTTATTTTACTTCATCTCCCATCTACGTCTTTCGTAACTTTAGTTTTTTTATGGTAAATTTAACAAATATACCCAGTGAAGAGAAGTTTGCTACCAGGATTTTTGCTTTAACTTCAACTCTGATTTTTGCTAACAGTATTTCTGTCTTTGAGAAAAGTATATTAGTAGGAAATAAGTCTTGTTTTTATGTTCTTTGAAACTATTGTCTTCTGAGTGTCTTATGCGCACAATTCGCTACAAAATATTCTTTCTAGCCCTAACCAGATGTGTCTTCAACTGGAAACATTAATTCGTTGCCAAATTTTTTTGAAGTGGTAATTCAATGGACAAGTACGTTTTCCTCAGATATAATTTATAAATTGGACAGCAAATCATTCAACAAGATGAATATTATGTACTTTTCTAGTTCACCTATTTGAGTTTTCAAACCATTTTCATTGTGACTTAAAAAACTGCATGTTTCCTTCCAGGCCAACACAGAAGGCATATAATATTTTACTTGATGCCTTTGCAATCTCGGGAATGGTAGAGCAAGCTCAAATTGTCTTCAAGAGCATGCGAAGAGACAGGTGAATTTTTTATTAGCTAAAACATTAATCATATTGGTCTTATTTTCCCCATATCCGTGTCTAATCTCAAAGATTATTGAAAAAATGTCTGCAACACAGTTTTGCTTATATTTGAGTTGCATTAATTTTCTTCCTGCAGAAAATGAATTAGTTGCTCAACTATTCCTGGTCTATATAATATATGTAGGATGGCTAGTGCCAAACCCGTGGACCTATGCAATAAACCATTGAACTTGCATGAAAATCTATTACATTTTGAAGTCCATGTTTTTTATTACATATTAAAATACAAATAGTTCTCTTATTTGAAGTATAATAACTATTCACAAGACAAAGTGAATCATGATAGAGTGTGCAACTCTACAAGATATGGATAGAGAAATCTAAGCATATGAATGCAGCAAGTTTCAAATATCTGCAGGGTGTAAATTTTGTTATAGTGCATTTGTATTCTCCATGTGCCACTAGAAAAATCACTTTTTACATAGAACTCGTGGCATTTCTCTATTTCATTCAATACGCTCTATCTTATGCATTACAATCTCTTCGATTTATCTTTACTCTTTGATAATCAAACCTAGATGCATGACAATCCCTCTTTGAGACAACAAGATCCACTATATTGACTCTAATCCTGATTTTTATTTCTCTCCTTTCCCCTTCTCTTACAATTGTTTTGTAACATCCTGCACCAATTTGGTATCAGAACGAGTCATTTTCCTTTGAACTAACATCATTTACCTTCTCAAATTAAAATCCAAACCCACGGGTTTCATCTAGTCCATATATGCCACCTCCCATTCGATCCACCTCTCATCCAAATCCTATAACCACTTTCATACACAATTTTTTTTTTTTTTTTTTTGAAACAGCCCTCAACCACCCAAACTACAGCATTGATTAGCATCAGCAGCTCATACATACTGTTCATGGGTATCGTTCATGCCCGAAATTGTAGTTTTAGTTTTTTTCATCAATTTTGAAAAAAAAAAACTTACAAATGGCTGCTGCTAATTCATCTACCCTATCCCTTGTTGTTCTCTATGATGTTGTTCTTCAAAGTTCAAACCCCATAATATTTCAACATTAGCCCACCTCATAACAAGACCTAACCTTCAGACTCCAATAGACCATCATATACAACACACCTAAAACAGCCCAATACCACACTCTGCCCTTATATCCCAAACCATTGAACACGTAACAGATCCCAAACCACCCAGCCCACTACTACCCAAACAGCTTAACCATTCATCACTCAATTCCAATTCACTCAGCCCATGACAAGCCCAGTACTAGCCCTACCCATTGCAACCCAATCTACTCGACTTCAACCTCACTGACTCCTCTAGAGTCTCTATCACTGGCGCCACCTATAATAAAGCGGACAAACTACAATCTACCCCTCTATTACTAGGGTTGAACGAGGTTCGATTTGGGTGATTTGTGCTATATTTTCAACTCGAACCATTTTATGTGGTTTGAATTTTTTCCAAACAAAATCAAACCATTTTATTTTTCGAACCAAACCAAACTAAACCTTAATTTGAGGTTTGGTTCGGTTTTAATGTACAGTTTATCTATCAACATTATAGTAATATATTGAAAATAAATTAATATATAAGTTTAAACAAGAACTAATAGTGTTAAATGTTAAATTACATTCATATTTATCATGAAACCCATGAATAAAATATTTTCAAAGTTGGTTACTAAAAGAGGTTAATAGAACAAATACATCTTTCTTCATTTTTATTTATCTTTTCTTGCTTGACCTTCATATTGTCAGAGCGATTGGTAAATGTAGAATCACATTCTGATATTATAGTTTGGTTAAAACTTATTCGTCTTAATAGTGAGATATTAAATAAGAATTGAACATGATAAGTTTAGATATACAAAGATTGATATAGTTCAGGCTTATTAGGAATTGACGAATTTCATTCTCTAATTATGGAACTTTATCATTTTTCATACGCTGTCCTTCGTTCCTTCCAAATTATAAACAAGTTCATTAATCATATAGGCACACAAACAGTCATTTTTCTATCCAAACCACAACTCATAAATGCATAATAAGTTCAAAAACAACAATAGAAGAAATAACAGTGGAAAAATTGCTTGAACAAGAATCTGAGGCTTGCCAAGAGAGGAGAGAAAGAGGCTATTCAAGTCGAAATTAGCAAACTAATAGGCAAAAGGCGAAGGACAATTCATTTAGCAGTGGTAGACAAACGTCAAATGTTTGGGAATAAGAGTTTATGTTCGGGCTTCTGAAGTTTTGGATGTGATTTGCTACCGTAGTTTTATTGAATTATGATATGGATTGTCGAATATATATATATATATATATATATATATATATATATATATATATATAAT